CAGGAGGCATTCATGGAGGTCTGCACATTGCCTGAAATACGCTACTATGCACGAAAGGATGAAATCAGACCTCCTTATCCTACTTTTGTAAAAGTTTTCAGTACTAAATGGTTGGGTTTAATACCTGTAAATCTGTTAGGATTTATTGCATCTGAAGCCAGTGTAGGAAATGGAGGGAAATAAGAACTGATTGACAGTGGAGTACCATTACAATAAAAAGATCAAGACACTTGACACTTTTTTTACTCTCCAAAGTAGGTAGTTAACCTGGGAACACTGTTGCTATGTCAAAAGGAAGAAAGATGGAGATGAGCAAATTCCAGACTGTGGCTATTTTCCAAGCTGAAAATTAATATGTGCAACTGCAGCAACACACACCACATCCCACGCTCAGAAGTGCATAGTTGGCAGTGAACCACTTACAAAAGATGACTCCTTAGCTGGCACTAACCAGGTAACCAAAACCAGCAGTGGCTGATATCATGGAGATCTAATAACCATTTTAGCTTTTTGCTCTGTCTCCTCTTTCCACATAAATCTGGCCTCCATTACCCTAAATATGAGCACCTTGCATTTATGTGGCCTCTGTGTCATTCAACCTGCCAGAGTATCTATTCATCCTAACCTTGGTAATACAGCAGACACCCTGAAAAACACTTTGAAATGTGACTTGCATTTACTGACAGCAGGTTATATGCCATTCCTTTCTTCTAGAATAGCCAGTTTTCTAGACCTGCTCTAATTTTCTATTCTCTCCAAAATTCAGTACAGCATTTGTTAAGGCACTATAGAGCAAATTACTATTTGAACTGGAAGAGATGGGGATTAATAACAGAATGACAGGGGTAAGGATCTGAATAACAGGCGTACAAACAGTGGGACACAGTGAAAAGCCCAGCAGCAGGCTGAAGGAAGACTGCCAAACTGGCATCCACTGGAGGGCAAGATGCTACTGGTTTTAGCAGGACTCAGGCTCAACCTGTGGCCACTCCAGACCTTCTGGTTTCACGGGTCTCATAGGGGACTTTGGTAATAAGCATCTATTTAATAATTAAAAAAAAAATTCCTGACCTAGTTATTTCACTAATCTCATTACTCACAGGCAGCAGTCCCTTGCTTTCAGTACCCAGCCGCACCCATAACAAAGCAGGATGGATTTAAGCAAGTGATGCAATCTTCAGAAAAATGTATTTAAAATGTTTTCTGAGTAACTTGCAATCAGTATTTGAACCATATATATTCTTTAAAAACTCAAGAGTAACAGAATGGAAGTGATTGTCATTATCTTAAATATGCTAGAAACAACCAAGAGGAATGAAAAACTGTACTTGATACCCACTATGAGTTACCACATGGCTTTTACTCAAACTCACATATCAGACTATCACTAGTCTTGGTTAGCCAAGCCCATCAGCAATAGCTCATGAGAATTCAAACACAAAGCTACGAAAGAAAATAAGCATCTTTTTCAGATAAGATAGTCAAATGGTAGTAAATTAAAATTGCTACTGAAAATATTAGGCTGGATTATAAATCTTGCCATAGGGTTTACTACAATTCCTGGTTTGCCAACTGCCCCCCAGTTCCTAATCAAAATTCATCTTAAATTATCATTAGATCCTTTCAGAGAAGGACAGTAGGCGGGATTGCAGCAAAGACCAGAAAACCGCAGGGGAACTCTGGATCACCAGGGCAGCTCAGGACCGATGCCAACGTGGCTGAACATGCACTGAAGCCCCCAGTCATCTCCCATCTTCATAAACACTACACGTGTCAGTCCTTTGGAACATAAAAGCAAAAATACACCATCTAAGCAAGTGCTGTGCCTTTGGAGGGTCCAATTTAAAAAAAGCACTTAAGATTGGTAAAGATGAAACCAGCTTTGATTGCTGGGAGTTACTGGAACTTCGGGTGCCAAACCCTGCCAGCATGACAGGGGATAAATTCCTGTAAGCCTGCCTTACGACAGACAGCTGAGGCCAGGAAATAAATCAAGTCTGGACATTTCTTCATAGAACACCCACCACAATTATTTTTTTTTCCACATTCAGCAAAACAAAGTGTGCGAAGTGCAAACATCCAAATACTTGAAGTATAATAAGTGGGGGAGGAATGGTGCCTCTGAGCTGTCCCAGGCACAATGAAGATCTCCAAAATGGGAATGCTAATCCACAATGTTTATTGCTTCGCTAATGCCAGCATCAGGAAAATTATGTTTAAATCACCATGATTAATCAGCCACAGCAGACCCATCTTCACCCCCAGCAGATGTGGAACCTCTGAGGTTTTATTAACCTTTATCCAAAGAACAAATTGGTCTGATGCATCCATTTATCTTGGAGAAATAGTCCAACAATCTTAAAAGGAACCCTGTCCTTTCACAGATCATGGACACTTTGATATATTTCAATATGAGCAGGTTTCATTTTTGTTTATCACAAGTTTCACTTTCAGACTCTAAGAACTGCACATTCGTGTTTTAAGCACCACGTGAAAGTGTTTACTTCCTTCACGCCTTGCTAGAAGCTTCCCAGCTGTAGTCCCAGCCCTTTCGCATTAAAGATAGACGCTTCTAGGAAATTACAACTTTGAGGAGGCTGTCTTGTATTTTGTCGTTTTAAACCACCAGTTGACAACACTGAAAACCTCGAGCAGTTAAAAATAGTACTTAAAAGGTTAGGAATACAACATTTCAGACTTTTTTTTCCTTTTACATTTATGAAGTGAACTAGATGAACACGTTCAAGCTTCCACCTGCAATCCTAAAAGGAAATGCTCACTTAAAACTGAAAGCCGAGATCCTCTACAATTATGTTTCCTGGGACAGAAGCTTTAAACACTCACATTGCACTGATGTCAGACAGAGCTGACCTAGCTTTTTAGGCACTTAAACCTCATCCCCACTGCAACAACAACAACAACAACAAAAAAAAAACCAACCCAAACCAAACACCCTATTTTTACCATGTGTTTGGCAGTCCATCTGTTGTGCTGCAATGTCACTGGGTCCCAAAGAAGTGAAGGCAGATCCAGGGGAACCTGCTAGTGCGGTGCAGCAGTGAGCAAGGGGTGCCTGTCCCGGGGAGCCAAGGCTTTCACCGAAACCATTTTGTTCTCATCACGCAGCTCACGGGAGGGCAACCCCACTCGGCATCTCTGCCCTGTGCCTTCGAGGTGCAGCCCAGGATCAGCACCCCTTGTGTTGAGTGGGAGCAACAACAAAGGACATCCCAGAAAATCAAGTGTTTAGAGTCCGAGTGCAAACACAAGAGACAATAGGATATGTTCCTGAATTCCTCACACACTTTTAAATAGCACTGTTCACTAACAACCCTTTTTTTCTGCTTTTTTAGAAGTAGAAGAAGAAATTTCTGAATGTTATATGCATGCAGGACAAACACAGGTTTTTTTAAGTCTAAAAATTATTAAAACTCAGAATTATTCGAACTGAGAAAAGTTCAAGCAGCTCCACCAGCAGGTCTTTCCCATTATATCCTTCATTAGTGGATAAAAATAGTCAAGAGCTTTGCTGTTGTGTTCTAGAGGCAACACCTTTTTTTCTGCTTCCTGTAAATGCCTCCGTATCCACACCAAAAAGTTACAAGGAGAGAAAAAACTATCATCCAGCCCACTGTGCTAACAAGATTTCACAGTTTGAACAAATGAAGCCAAATTACACCCAACTTCTGGTTTTACACCTTATGCGGCACCCAAATCATCCCAAATACCTCTCTAAAACAAAAAGATTGATTTAGAAATAGGAACTTTAGAGAAAAACACATCCATGAGACTCAAGCAATCTCAACATTCAAGCCAGCCTGTGTCTCACTGCAAGTTGAGAGTTACCTAAAGCCGTTCAGAATTCACGCCCAAATTCCCCTCCTTGGTTGACTTCTGAGGTTTTTAGGGAAAGTCTCTTTGCCCTGCGTGCTAACAAGTGAACTGTTATTATAGCTATTGCATTCAATTACAGAAGGTCATTGTACTAGAGGTAGTTTCTTACGTAAAACTGTTTTCAGTTCAGCAGGATGGGAGGGAAGGGGGGAGCTGCATTTCACCAAAAACTTAACTGATAAGGAAAAAGACAGTACTATTTACTCAGCAGTGTGCTTAAGTGCTTTTGCCTTCATTTCTAAACAGCTGAAAGTAGGTAGTTTAAAACATGCTATGGTCCGATCTTGAATTTGTAATTCTAAATGAAAAAATGCAAGCAGCACTCTGATATCATGTAATATCTATTTATTGTGGATTACAGATCTCAGCAGTGCTGGGAAGAGTTTACAGTTAGATTCCCCTACAGACGTGCCTCCAAGACCAAAAAAAGGGTTTGCTCTCCCTGAGCCTAGGAACAAATAGTTGGCACCTCCTCCTGAGGGGAGCAGCTGGGCAGTTGCTACCGTTTCTCATTCCACTCGACATTACCAGCTATTAAATTATACTGAGTTTCTTGTTCAAGCTCAAACTCTCCCAGAACAATTAAAAAGTCACCAAGCTGGGGGTCACAGTACGTTGCCATTTTCCATTTCATGACCTTTGTCAGAGATGAGATATATATGTCTCTCATGTCTTTTCTTTAAAAAAAAACCCCACAGTTTAACACTCAAAATACTGCCCGCAAAAGAAAACGGTTCAAAGCTTGGCATGTTTTTAAGCAATCTAAACACAATTCCATGTTAAGGACTGTAGGAAGTACCCTAAAACCCAACCAAATAAAAACCGCACTGGAGTTCAACACAAAGAACCACCCTGCTGCAAAGCCTACAACAACAACAGACGTTGTTCCCCTGGCTTGCAGTTTTGCTCTTTCCTTGCTAATAAAAAGAGGCTCTCACGCTACCGTGCTCCCCGATCAAACGCCACGGGTGAGGATGTGCTGTTTGTACAGTTCCGTTTTGGGAAAGTCATAAAAAATTTCCTTGGGGAGGGTGCAATAAAAATAAAAGCGATCAGTCACATCCTCCACCTGAGTGAGCAGCTCCCACTGCACCGAAGCCGGTTACCTGTCTGAGACCCAGGAGGAAAGGCATCCTGCAGGCTCATCCTCCGCACCAGCGCATGGAAAGGCAGAAATTTAAAGCCCCAGAGTGACCATTTCCTCATCTGCTGTGGGCAGCCTGCTCCTCCGATCCTATTTAAACCAGGGCTTCCTCAGCTGGGAATGCAAAGTAAACAGGGTCCTGGGACACTGCACGCACTCACTGGCTCCCCCTCCTCCTCCTCCCACTCTCCGTGACATATCTCAGACGCAGACCAGCCAGGGTGTTTGCAAGAGGGAAATGACATCAGGTCGGGCAGTTCTAAAAAAAAAAAAAAAAAAAAAAAAAAAAAAAAAAGCAGCCCTGAACCTTCAGACAGCTGCTGGGTAACACCAGGCAGCTTGCCGCAAACGGGACCTGCGTGCTGTTGGGCAGCGCTGCCTGCGCGGAACCTGGCTCTCCTCCCCAACTGCATGCTGCAAGTGGAGGGGAATCTGTGAAAAACGTTGGCAAGGGCCGACAGCTCCTCAGTGATGATTTAATCATCGCTAAGCAAAAATAGACATTTAATCTATTTTTGAGGAGAAAGCAAAGTTTGATGCTGCTTGCTGAACAGCACTGGAGCCCTAGGAGCAACCACCATGGTTTCTCCAAGTACCTCCAGACTCCAGAGACCTGGGTAAAGCTTTCACAGATCCAGAATACTCCCATACTTTATTCTGCCTACCACCACGACCCCAATTTTTCTCAGCAACTCTTACAGCATGGTTCAACTCTCAGCCCCTCCGGATAACAGCTGTCTCACTAAAGAAACAGCAACAATTCCGCTGATTTCAGTAGGATCCAGATTGGGCTTCTCCAGCCTCAGACAGGTGATGGGAAGACATTTTAACCCACCTCTCCCCAAAGAAAACACAACTAGCCCTGACAAAAGGTTTCTCATTTTACTTGAGCTCATTTCACATTTTCATGCCAAGGGGCAATTAAGCCTTATAAACAAATTTATCATCTGGTGCCCAGGATGGCATGTCTTGTTTGTCCTCTCCCAAGCAAGGAGTACAGCAAGTTCCACAGCGGTGTAGGAAATGATACTGAAGAAGGTAACCTAAATTTAACTCCCTTTTCTACCTCCACTTTGAAAGTTCAGCAATCTCTTTTTTTTTGTGCTTCTCTTTAATCAGCAGCTGTCCTCGTCTGTCGAGGTGAGGACGGGACAGACGACGGACAGGACATGACACTAGGACATGACACCAGGACACAATCACCACTCCCAAGTGTTCCAGAAGCAGCTCCACGGATATGTGAGAAAGGGGCAACTCCCCTTGTTTGGCCTCTCTGGATTTTGGAGCTTGACACATTAAAATATTTGATGAGGGAAGGAACTTTTTTTCCATAGAGACTTCACTGAATCCCTTTTTAGTAGCAGTTTTAACAATAATTTCAGGACTTCAGAATAGAAAGAGAAACCACATATAATTCTTACAAATGCTTATTTGCAACAGCAGGGGAAAAAAATTTAAAAAGGAAAACCAAAAAACAAACCAGAACAAACACACCCCACACCCCCCGACAGCCAGACAGCTTGCAGCAGTGTCAGAAAAAGACACCCGTTTTCCACATGCCAAAACCCCTCAGTGACCACTGCTGCTGCCTCCTCCCAGCCCAGCTCAGCGTTGTTTCCCAGATGAGAACCCCACTGTGGGTGTCCTCTACACAAACAGGCTGAGAGACTATATACAAGCATTACTTATTTTTACACCATCTTAAAGCCACCATATAAACTTGCTGTTTAAGGTAAGGACATCTTTGTTTTTCCTAAGAGAAAACAGGTACATACATAATTTCCTGGAGGATACAAAACATCAACGTTAACTAGCATCAGGTAGGCAATGGGATTTTCCAGCTTTTGTGCTCTTGGATCAAACAAACTCTCAACCTTTGCTTTTCCAATTCTATGGATAAACACCAGTGATATAAAAGGACAGCTTTCTGTTTTAGTAATCTCTTCTGTGGCCTCACGCTGTCCTTTGAAATACCCGATTTTGGCTGTTGCTATCCAGAGCCCTGGCCTAGGCCGATCCCAGGGCTGAGCCAATGCAGCAATTTCTAAATCCCTACTGTCAGAAGGAATCTAACTTTAACCACCCGCCTCTCCCCCAGCACATATTCAAAATGCGAAACATCATTCCAGATCTAAGACAAGTTGTGAAGGACTATCAAAGGCAGTAACTTAGTGGAAAAGCATCCTAGTTGATGTGTTATTTTAGAAATCCTGGAAAGACTGACACAAAAAAAGGCAGTTTGCAAGCAGGCATTACCACATTTGACGGCAGCAGCAACAGCCACCCTCTTTCCCAGTCTGAGTAACAGCAGTCAGTAGCACGGCTCCACAAACTCTGCTATAGGTGACTATGGAAAAAGCCCTGGAGGGGGGCAAAAAAACTCCCAAATACCAGAAAACCAAACTGAACAAGTTAGCTCATACCCCTCTAATACCCTAATCAATACAACACTCAGAACCTTTTCAAAACACCTAGATTCTCCTAATCATTGCAACTGCTTTGAATATTTCAACAGGTATAATTTTATTTCCTATTCTGTTTTTTTAAGTTCATAGGTTCATACCCCAATGCTCTGTCTTGTGGTAATGAGTTTCATAAACAGTGGTTGTGAACAAATAGTTCCTTTCATCAAGAGTGAATTCACCACCTTCTAATCTGACTTTCATATTATTAGCAGGTGGGAACAGAAGTCCCCATCCATCTTCTCACCCATTCATTACTCTGTACCTGTTAGCTATCATCTTATAAAAGGTATCAATCTTCCCTATCCTCTTAACGCAAAATCTTTTCCCAAAGTCTTCAGCTGCTTATTGCCCATTTCCAAAACCTTTCTAATTTTCTACTGCTCTCTGCTTGGGGGGAAACCAGAGCTGAAGTTATAATTGTTTTAAATGAAAACAAAAGCAGTTCTAAGGCAGGCTCAAGCATGGGTTTTGCTTCCTTTATACAAGCCTGGAGTTTAACATCTGCAAAGGCCACCCATCTATAACACAAGAGTGCCTATCTGAGATACAACAAACAGAGCAAACACAAGTTTTTACTGTTTCTCTGTAGATTAATCTCTTGAGAGCCCTGAAAGGCAGGGCTAATGTCAGGAGAGATTGTGGGATCTACGCTATTTTGAAAATTTGCTTGTTTAGGAAGCCACCAACCATCCTTTTTTGGCATGTCGGTGTAGATCCTGCTACAGGATAACAGTGAGCAAGTTTATTTTGAAGGGGGAATAAAGACCTCTAGGCTTTATCAGTCTTAAGGACTGCTCTCTGAACATGCCATCTGCTCCAAGCATCATGTCAAGCAGAGAATGCTACTTGACACTTTCACAAGCCCAACACACTCTGCCTCTTGAGCTCAGATACTGGCATGCAATGCTTGCAAGCAGGTTTAGTAACCCAGCAAGATCACAGAAACATAGAATGGCTTAGGTTGGGAGGGACCTCAAAGATCATCTAGTTCCAACCCCCCTGCTATGGCAGGGACACCTCCCACTAGACCAGGTTGCTCAAGGCTCCATCCAACCTGGCTCTGAACACTTCCAGGGATGGAGCATCCACAACCTCCTTAGGCAACCTGTTCCAGTGCCTCACCACCCTCACAGTAAAAAACTTCTTCCTTATATTTAATCTAAACCTCCCCTCCCTCAGCTTCCACCCATTACCCTCATTTTATCATTTCAATCCCTTGTAAAAAGTCCCTTCCCAGCCTTCTTGTAGACGCCCTTCAGGTACTGGAAGGTCACTATGAGGTCTCCCCAGAGCCTTCTCTTTTCCAGGCTGAACAAGCCCAACTCTCTCAGCTTGTCCTCATAGGAGAGGTGCTCCAGCCCTCTGATCATCTTGATAGCCCTCCTCTGGACTCCTCCTAACAGCTGTATATCCTTCTTGTATTGGGGGCTCCAGAGATGGACACAGAATTCCAGGTGGGGTCTCACGAGGGAAGAATCACCTCCCTCGACCTACTGACCACACTTCTTTTGATGCAGCCCAGAATCTGGTTGGCTTTTTGGGCTGCAAACAAGATATAATTATCCATTTTGATACCCCAGAGTTGACAGCTTGCCCTTTAGATAAACCAGTTATGACAACATGATTGGAACAAAAATTGAAGTTGCACAGCTCAAAGCTGTCAGGCTTGAAGCACAAGGCTACTCTCAGTTGCTCCATTATTAGAGTTCTAGACAGGGAGAGGTTTTGAACAGTAAATATGGGTGGTGTGTAATATCCCCTCAATTAAACTTTAATACCATGGTTCTGCAGCTGTATATAGACAGGTTGACCATACATAAAGTTGAAACAATTTTATGTAATGACTCTTCCATTTGCCCCAGTACACTCTGTTATTTTCATGTTGGTAACAGGAGCATCCCTTGAGCATCAGCTATCCACCTTCATTAGTCGGCCCACAGCCCTGGGTGCTAAGAACTGAGACTACACAAGTCTGCCAAGCACTCGAACCAAAGTGTGAAAGCAGCAACCTGAATGAGGGCAACTGTCTTCCCCTCCATCCTGGAGATGGCTCTGGCAATAAAGAAAAAAGGGAAAGAAACAGACAGAAAGGCATGAAAGCAGATCACTGCTTCTCTAGAATAAAAACAACATCCAGATACAACCAAGACCTATCGGCCTGGACAGCAAATGTTCTAAAGAGGCTTGCTTGCTAGCAAAACCAGCATGAGACATCGGGAGATCACCAGTGCTGAAACAGCAGCGCAATGCTGGATCTTCCTGAAAGCCATTTCTGGCTGACCACCTGCCCACAAAATTCACCCACTTGTTGTTGAACCCTGAAGAGTGAAGGGCCATTTTCCCACCCTAACAGCACCATTACAAGAACACAATGACTTTCCATGAGGACCAGGTGTCCTGAGTTCATGTACCATATAGCATTGGCAATGCCTACAAAGAATGTCATCAACAAATTTCAGAAGACAAACAGGAACAGGTCAGTCTGGTAATTTCCCAGCACCTATCAGACCCAGAGTATCTACTCTATTGCTTAGAGGACACATGGTCCAAAACAAACCTTCAGACCCCCTGTGTCTAGTACTACTGTGTTATTTAGGAGTGGGGTAAAGTGGGTCCCCAGTTCAACTACAAACAAGGACACAGAAGTCAAAATTACTGTTTGTCAGGCCAAGCTAACTTAATCATTGCTAGAGAGAGCAAAGAATAACTGCAGGAAAAGACACCATACATTTTGGAACTGGTTTGTG